ACCACATTTGCCAACCTCGCCCTTAAGCAAGATCGCCGATTACAACACACTCTTCTTAAAGAGGGATTTTAGTGAGCTGAGCCCTGCTAGAAAACAGACTGTGAATCACAGTTACAGAACACGTGGCAAGCTCTGCTGAGCTGTCATCCAAGCGATGAAGGCAACTTGACCTTTTCCACTTAGCTGCAAAACTAGGAGGTGTGGATGGGCAGCTCATCTCCTTTTAAACCTTACAAAGGAATCCTGAAGCATAAATCATCCACTTCCAAGCCCAAGCCACAGTTCTCACTGACCATTGGTCAGTTAGTTAAGCGGGAGCTGCAGTCCCAATTTAAAATAAATTCACTGACGGTACAGGGGGAAAGAAAATTCCAAATTCTGAATGAAACACAAGGTCATGAACATTGTGAAAGTACTGTAAGTCGCCATATTGTTGCAAATCCCTGGTCTCACCACAGACGAGTACCGTGATGGGAAGAAGCCCTTCCTGCTCACTAGTCCCTGTAATGACTAATGTACTGTGATGGACGAGCAAATAAGTACAGGTTGTGTAGCAGACATTTCACTGCAGAAACGTTCCAGCGTGATCCGTACAAGTAGTATTTGTCAGCAAAACCATCTCGAAGTCGAGAGAAATATTTCTCCTGGATTAAAAGAGCTGGATTCACAAGCCTGCTTGTTTACAGAGTAACAGGGCCGCTTCACATCACCCGATGTTTTGTTGCCTAATTCTGAATCGCAGAACAAGGTGCTGCACAGACCCTGAAATGTTGTTTAATTGGTGGTGAAAAGCGGAGGTTTTTCCAAACCTGAAATACACAAATAACCTTGCAGTTCCCCTTTAACCCAGCCCCCCGGGCAAGGCAACTGATCAGGAATTGATCACGTCAAGGTTTTAAAAGATGCGTTGCTCCGAGAAAACCGAGCTGCTCTGAAATGGGAAGTAGCTGTTTCTAGTTAACCATCGCTTGCAGGCGAGACCCCAGCTAGTACTGAGACCTACAGTAGCATCTCCTTGCATTGGGGGTATTACAACCAGGATAACTTTCTCACTTCGTAACGAAAACTTTTCCGTGCTTAAACTGCATCTGAAATTGAACTGATGCACAACAGGTAAAGCGCTTCTAAAAAAAAAAAAGACTCGCCTTGGTCCGAACACTTAGGTCCCATGTGGAAACAAAACACACAACATTGATTCCGTTTCCATTCCAACAGGGGGCACACTCGCATAAATAATGAAGTTTGCAAGTTGTGCTTCAAAATAATTTTACAAGCAGTATCATACAAACTTATTAAGCCTGTGCAATGCCCAGCATGTTCTAGAACAAGTTGTTCAATGTATAGCTCAAAAATTAATATACACGCTAATTATACACTTCAATTTCATTTCAAAACCTTCACTGATACTTCCGTAATAGCGGCACATTTACAAAATAAATGACAGGTCGTATCTAGAAATAAATATAAAAGTTACCTTTTCGCATTCTTTCTTAACGGCGATTTTCCATCGTAGAGCAGGGGATGATTTCCGCCGACAGCAGCTCTCCACTTCTTCCGGACAATGTGATATCAATAATAAAATACCGGATTCCACTATCCTCCTCTTTCCACAGCGCTCCAAACTTCCCGTGGTCTCGGACTCGCGTGTATTTACCACGGCACCGGCCGATTCGACCTGTGTGCGCACAGTTTGATTTCTGTGAAAGACTATATTAATCGAGTTTTTTTTTAATTATTTTGCGTGTTATTGCATCTCATATGTTTTTAAATTAAAGAGCAGAGCTTTAGGCCCGTTTCCATCCGACATACCTCCCTTAAATCTACACAACTCCACCTAAACCACCCCCCAGGACTGCAAAAGAAAAACATACTTTTCATGAAGACAAACCTCCACCGGCACAGTTACTCTATCGACTAGCGCGAAAACACCTGGCTGTATTTGAGTGCTTAAGCGTCTCTTTGTTCTAATTGGTTAAAAAAATTTAAGATGCCACCTCCTGATTGGCTACGAAGGAAAATCGATCGAACGTTCATGGCCGTTGCTATGGTCGCTGATGAGCATGTGTCCAGTTCTCACCTGCCGTGTAAATTGAAGCTTTGTGTGTACCATTCGCGTCCCACCCCGTTACAAAAAAGTCACAAGGAAACCACCCCGGGCTATTGCGTATTAATTGTTGTATTATAATGTATAATAAGACCTGGTCTGATTCTCAAATCTGCCCCATTGTGAGATTTTATTTGTTTGCAAGGCAGGCGTTACTCAGCTGGTCCCTCAGTTCTGTGGCTCATTCCCTGAGGAAGATGATGAGTTTTGAGGGCGGGGACTGTTTCTGCTGCAGCAGGAGCCATAGATGGGGATACTCTGGGGATATTCATTTTGATTTCTTCTGAAGCAGCTCCTACAGGAGGTGACAAGGTATTTTGTGCATTAAGCACATTGTTGGCATTTGCTGGGTAGCCCACCCTGTCCATCTCCCTCCACGTTCTGTCGGTTTCCTTTGCGTCTAGTCGACTTTGATTACTTTCCAAAGGAACAAGTCTGCAAAAGCTGTTAATGACATGTTTTGACCTCAATATAACCTGAAGTGATTCAGCATACTGCGCTACTTGGATATAATGCATTGCATACACCATGGACACAGAGCAGCTCCATTCATATTGAGATTTATTCAGTTTCTATTACATTAATATCTATTATCATGTAACCTTATTTTTGTGAGCTTGCAGAAAAGACATTTCATTTCCAGCAACTACTGCTGCACGCTGTATTGTTGTGCATTTGAGAAATAAACTTTGACTTGATGACAACTGCCTGCTCTTAAAACACAACACAAAGTATCTAACGTGTGTAATACATATTCAGTGGTGTGAAAAAGTGTTTGCCCCCTTCCTGATTTCTTTTTTTTTTGCATGTTTTTCACACTGAAATGTTTCAGATCATCAAACAAATTGAAATATGAGACAAAGATAACACAAGTAAACACAAAATGCAGTTTTTAAATGAAGGTTTTTATTATTAAGGGGAAAAAAAATCCAAACCTACATGGCCCTGTGTGAAAAAGTGATTTGCAAACACTTTTTCACACCAGTGTATATGCTCATGACCTCAGTCCAAGTCAGCTGTGTCACGCTGATGATTAAGAAGGATTAGTCAGCTGTCTGTGACTGCTAAATAAACGCTCACAAACATTAAAAGCATCATACCCTTTACACAATGTCCTGTGATGCAATCAAGCCCTTTTTCCTACAGCACTGGAAGTCAGCTCACAGTTCTCATGCTACTTTTTTAACGGAGAAAAACAGTCAGGCCTCACAATATAGATCAGACTATCATGTCAGCACGGTTAGAAAGAACCCCTTCGCAGTCAGTAGGATGAATTGAAATTCTCATCTCATCATCAGGAATTGAAAAAATCTTCAGTTCAATGCGGATCGTGTTCAGCCAGCAGCTCTATCACTCTGCAGCTCACAGCTGGCAGCCCCACTGAAGCTCAGCAGGTGGGAGCCTGGCCAGTACCTGGATGGGAGACTCCTGGGAAAGCTGAGGCTGCTGCTGGAAGAGGTGTTAGTGGGACCAGTAGGGGGCGCTCACCCTGTGGTCTGTGGGGGTCCTAATGCCCCAGTATAGCGATAGGGACTCCTTACTGTAAAAGGTGCCGTCCTCCAGATGAGACATTAACCCGAGCCAGGCTCCCACCCGCTGAGCTCCAGGGGGGCTGCAGGGTGATCCTGCTGCTGGCCTGAGCTGGGGAGGAAGGGAAAGGCGGCTCTGTCCGAGGCCCGTGGGGGGTGGACGAGTGAGACAGATCTCGCAGTCACGGGACAGAGGGAGGCCCTCAAGCAGGCTGGAGTTTCCGTGGCTTTGCCGGGGTGACAGGAGCCCTTTGGGCAGGTGGAAGAGGACCGGAGGACTTTAGATCCTTTAAAGAATAATAATAATAATATCTGTGCTGGTCAGCGCTTCAGGAGCTTGGCTTACCCGTGCCTGATCACTGGTACGATCACCAGCCTGAAAGGTGTGAAGAAGGAGAACGTCACCACCATGCATGACATGGCTGTTACCACTGTTGAAGCAAACCGACGGGGCGTCTTCCTCCCGGGGCGGTTTCTCGTCGATGTAGCTGTCCCACGTGGCGGGAATGTCTGCCTGAGGGAGGCTGGAAAATTGAGCCGGTACAAGGACCTTGAGAACGAGATACCGCGCCCGTGGAGCACAGAGCCAGGCGGGATCCCAGGCGTAGGCGGGGCTCTTGGAGCGCCTCGAGTCGGATTTCAGAAGCACCCCGAGGAGCTGCCAGGCGAAGGTGCAGGTGCAGAACGTCGCCCTCCTTGGAACAGCCCACATACTCCGCCAAGTCCTGCCCGTCAGACAACAGCAGGGCCTGAGGAATCCGGTGGATCTCCGGTCGATACCAGCCTGCAGAAAAGCTGAGAAGATAAAACTTTCAATAATAATAATAATAATTCCTAACGCTTCTATAGCGCTTTTCTGGACACTCCACTCAAAGCGCTTTACAGGAAATAGGGGATCCCACTGTCACCACCAGTGTGCAGCCCCTACCTGGATGATGCTCCAGTCCTCTCCCCACACACCAGCTCTCAGTGGGGAGGAGAGCAGAGTGATGGAGCCAGTTCAGAGATGGGGATTACTAGGAGGCCGTGACTGGTAAAGGCCAGAGGGAAATTTGGCCAGGACACCGGGGTAACACCCCTACTCTTTTTGAGAAACGCTCTGGGATTTTTAATGACCACAGAGAGTCAGGACCTTGGTTTTACGTCTCATCTGAAGGACGGCTCCTACCCATCATCCTTTTTTTACAGTTTATTGTCCCCATCGTTAGCATGAGTGACACACGCACAGATTCTGATAGCCTTGCACTCTTTCAGATCTGCTAGACACAACAGGCCTTGCACAATTTCCGGGGATCAGAGCAGTCATTTTCCTCTGAAGATAAAATAACAGAGAGAGAAGGAGAAGTAAGATCCAGTGCAGGGAGCAATACTGAAGACTGACTGGCACTGTGACTGCAGCACACCGATCACAGCAAGGACATGGACAGGGAGTACAAAAACATAATCATATCTAAGATGTCAGAAGAAATATACACTGATTTAATCAGCCCTGATAATCATGTGTACAGCACAGTGGACCAGTGCCTACATGAAAACAGAAGAACGCAGGACAGACAGAGAGGTAACGAACGTCTTTAGAATCTGTTAAAGTATTGCTGTGATTAACCCTTGTATAGTGTATCAGGCTTATGTTTCAACTCCTACTGATCCATTTCTGTTCTGCTGTGAATATTGACACACTGGGAGAATCTAAATTTCTACCTGCATGTTTAATGCAACAGCTTTATAGAAGGCTGCTAAACAGTCATGTCCTTGAACAGAATGGAGCCTTTGGAAGAGTTCAGAAACTGAAGTCATAAACACAGGCCATTTCTGAATGCACTAGATTCAAAACCAAGGTATGTTGTGTTAAAATCGCACAACTAAGGTGTTAGAATATCGCATACAACATTCAACATCCTCAGAGTCAACTCAGTGAAACTCTTTAGAATCCGCAGAGAGACACTTAAACAGAGGGTACAAGAGGAAATGGTGTGGAAGTGTATTTAAAACTGAGAATGAGTGGCACTTCTTTACACAAAGGGTGGTGGGAGTATGGAACAAGCAACCAAGCCAGGTGGTTGAAGCCAATACAGCTGGATCAGATCTTTGGATCAGGCAGCCTGCAGGAACTACATGTGTTAGTTGTGCTGACAGGCATTTACATGTTTGTAAACTTCCCTGTTTCCTTATGTCCCAGCGTGAGACATCAGCGTATGATCTTATGTCTCCTCATGTCTGTGTTCACAGTGAAAGCAGGGTGCGGGCCCCCTCCTTACAGACTGATCGCAGTGTTTCTGGGGCTGCTGTGTGTTGTTTCACTGACTGGCTTCATAATCCAGTCTGTCTACTGTGAGTATAACGCTGTGTGGAACTGTAGCCGTTTAATAATAATAATTATTACTAAAATTTTTATTAATAATGAAGTCTCCCCCACTGTCCAATGGTGTGGTAGTGATTTTTGATGTGATAAGATCCGTGGATCTTTTGCTTCTAATTGCTAATCTAATTGCTTTTAGGAATTTTTGAACAATCTGATCTGTACAGATACCACCAATCAAATAATAATAATAATAATAATAATAATAATAATAATAATAATAGTAATTCCTACATTTATACAACAACTTTTTGGACACTCCACTAAAAACACTTTACAGGTAATGTTCTAGCCCCACCTAGATGATGCACCAGTCCTCTCCCCACACACCAGCTCTTAGTGGGATGGAGAGCAGAGTGATGAAGCCAGTTCAGAGAGGGGGTTATAAGGAGGCCATGATTGGTAACAATCAGGGTAAAATTGAGTCAAGACACTGGGGTAACACCCCTACTCTTTTCAAGAAACACCCTGGGATTTTTAATGACCACAGAGAGTCAGGACCTCAGATTAATGTCTCATCTGATGGACAGCACCATTTTTTTACAGTATAGTGTCCCCGTCCCTATGCTGGGGCATCAGGACCCGCACAGATTGCAGGGTGAGCGCCCCCTACTGGCCCCACTAACACCTCTTCCAGCAGCAGCCTCAGCTTTCCCAGGAGTCTCCCATCCAGGTACTGGCCAGGCTCCCCCCTGCTGAGCTCCAGTGGGGCTGCCAGCGCTGAGTCACAGAGTGATCCAGCTGCTGGCTGAGAACTTGTGTCGCTGCCTGAGTTCCTTTGTCAGCAGCTTCCTGCCGGCCCGATACCAGTGCCTGCGTGCTTCCATATGGTAAAGACCGAATGTCTATTCCCCACCAGGTAACGGATTCCTTCACGTCAACCAATCACAGAGCTCTCTACCAAGAAGGAACGAGCTGGATGACCTCAGTGCAAACTATTCTGCTCTGGCTGCTGCCCATGAGAAGTTAGTGGAAGAAAAAGAGGAGTTAAAGAGAGAAAACGAGAGACTCCTGTCCCTGAACACAGATATCAGTAAGCACTTTCACATGCAATGTTACTGGAAAACAGGCATGATGGGGACTTTTTTATTCTGACACACTAAACGAATCGTCTCTGCTTTGTTCTGCACAGTCTGCTCTCCCCAGTAGCTGAGCATACCTGATAGCACAGCTCATTCGTGCTCACGAAGTTACCTACTGTATCTTACTGAAAGCATTTCCAGTGTAATGAAGGGGGGGTTGGTTGTTCAGTCCTGTGACGGGTCAGCCCCTGCGAGGGGCAGAATAACTCTTTAGTTCCATCCCGCTGCAAAACCCATTTAGCGCTTAGTCAGCATCGCATTGATCTCCAGCACCTGGGTCGCTAAAGCAATTAAGCACCCATTGAATTCATTTTGTCAGAAAGGTTATAAAGTCAGGACAGCGTGTTGGCCCAGTGGTAGGCATTGCTGCCTTGCGTGGGTGCTCCAGAGACGTACTGGTAAGTTAATGAGCTGCTGGAAGAGCATCCCTGGTGTGAGTCTGTGTGTGCCCTGCAATACACTCGCGTCCCTCCCACAGTGTATCCTGCCTTGTGCACGTTCCCTGCCGGGATAGGCTCTGGCTGCCATGTGACCATGAAATGGATACAGGAGCTTAGAAAAGTGATCTGAAGGAGATTCAAAGTCCTGGCAGGGCATTTAGACACGTTTGTCTAACCACTGGGACAAACGGAGGGCTGGGATGTCCCCATACACTCAAGAGACATGGGATTGAAGTACACTGTGTTGGTCAGGGAACTGGACTGAGAGGAATCTGCTGTCACTCTCTGCGTTCTCCCTGTACAGAGAGGCTCTGCAAACTGTGTCCTCAGGACTGGGAGTTTTTCCAGTCCAAGTGTTACCACTTCTCGACTGGCAGGCTGAGCTGGAGGGACAGTCAGGCTGACTGCAGGAGCCAGGGGGCTGACCTGGTGGTCATAGACAGCAGACTGGAGCAGGTAAGTGACTATGAAGGGGAAGGGGGGCGAACGCAATTGGGGAACCATAGCGTGTTGACAAGAGATGTTTGGGAAGAAAGCTAGGGCCTGATCTTGCTTATTTCCTCCCAGCCATCTCCCTCTCTCCCTGGGACCTCCCTTCACTTATCTCTCCCACACCCTTGTGGCAGCTCCTCAGCTCATTCCTTGCACTAGTAACAGGGCGGGAGGGATCAGCCTCATCCTAGTAGCTAGGCTGCCTTTCCCTCAGCTAGGAGAGTAGGACCCACATGGACTGCAGGGTGAGAGCGCCCCCTACTGGTCCCACTAACACCTCTTCCAGCAGCCTCAGCTCTCCCAGGAGTCTCCCATTTAGGTACTGGCCAGGCTCCCACCTGCTGAGCTCCAGAGGGGCTGCCAGGGTGATGTGGATGTTGGCAAGTTCACAAACAAAGGGAACTAACCTACGTCTCCCCACCAGACTTGACCATAGCACATCGATTGTATTTGGGTGGGGGGTTTCTAGTAGCGCTCCCTTTGCTATCACGTTAATAACCAGCATCACGGATGAGTAACTCTGTGTCTCCCGCTCAGCTATTTATATCGAGACAGAGCAAGGGAGGCAGTTACTGGATCGGACTGAGCGATGCCGCCTCCGAGGGCACCTGGCTGTGGGTGAACGGGGCCAGAGAAACCGGAGGGTGAGTTCGGCGGAAACGCCACCGGCCCAAAGACTGTCTGGGCAGAACCGGGAAGAAACACACGCGATGGCCGCGGAGAGACGTTAAATGGAGAGATTCTGCTGTTATTTTATATTTTGTTAGACCTGATTCGGCGAAAGGGTGTGTTTTTCCTATTAATCTGGTCATTATTTTGGCGAAATCCACAGAAGTAAATGGTCCGATACCGCTCCTGTCCATTCGTGCTTTTAAGGTCGAATTGCTTTGTTATTTAAAGAATCAAAAAATAAGACGTGCAATGGAAACATGTTAAAAGCTTTATTTTCAGCTTTTGTCACTGAGAATTCCTCTGGCTGTGAAGGGCGTCTATTTCTGTATCGGTTTGACTATGTCGTCTCCCTTTTCGTATTTCTGATGTTTCAATGAGAAACAGTTCAGTTCCAGCTCAGTCCTGGAACAGCAGCATCACGGTTCACTGCTCTCTCCTGCCAAGAACAAACAAAAAGGCCGGAATGAGAAATAAACGTGAACTGGAACTTGACAGGTACTGGATGCCGAGGCAGCCGGACAATCACCGGGGCAGAGAGGACTGCGCCATGATCGCCTCCCGAGCCGTGAGGAACTGGAATGACGAAGAGTGCGGCCGGACTCTGTCCTGGATCTGCGAAGCCGAGAGTCCGCTCCTCTCCGCTTAAGACGCTTGGCGGCTCCGAGCAACAACAACAACAACAACAACAACAAAACACCCGTGCTGCTCTTCCGGAGCCGAGCGCCTCGCCATCAGTCCACGGAGAGCCCGAAGAACCCACAGGGCAGTTTTGGCTTGCGTGGCGGCGGTGTGAACAAGTCGTAACTGCGCTTCACGGGCCGATCCGCTCGCTTCACACTTCACGCAGGACGCAAGCAGCTACAGAGGAGGACGGCAAGGTGATCCAAGGATCACGTAGCTCCAAAACATTCAGTTCAACTCGGTTGCAATTAAGAAAGCAAAAAAAAAAAACAACAACCCGTAGAGATGGGGAATTCTGACCTTGGACGTTATGTGGATTTGGCTATTGAAATTGATTTTTTTTTTTAATCTAAATGTGCTTTGGTGTTCGCTTCGTGCTCAGCAGCTGAGCTTTTTTTTGTACTTTTGCCTTTTGTACAAGCGTACGGAGCCCGGGAGGGCCCATCGGTGTGTGTGTGATGGGGAGTTATATCGAGGGAACGATTTACGATTCGTGCGCACGAAATAACGTTTTCTCTTTCTTCCGTTTTCGCACGCACATAGAAAGTTTAAAACGCCCGCATTGTCCCCTTCTCCTGACGACAACCCTTTCAAACGCTAGTTAACATGTTTTTATATCGGTACAATAAAGCATATCTGACACTGCTGTAGATAAGGATAATGGATAGAGATGAACTGATTAAGTTTTATTTTGGTTTGGGGATGAGTTATTAGGGCACTGTAGCTACTGTACTCTTCAACTATCGGGACTGCACCTCTCTTTCACTGCTAGTGCCACGTCAGTGCTTGCGAGGGGGTTAGGAAACGTTATTTCGTGCGCACGAATTAAAGAAAACGGGGGCACGATGTAGGTATTTCGTGGGCGCGAATTTTAAGTCGTTCCCTCGATATAACTTTGTTTTCTTACTGATGGTCCGGCCTCCGAACCAGCGCGTCCTCCTGACTCTGCAAACCCCCTCCTGCTGTCGCGCTCGCTCAGATAAATGAACCACTGAGACCTGTCACTACTGCAAGAATCACATTTTGTTCTGAAACTCCAGAGCGAATAGCGTATCGAGTTTTGTAGGCGGTGCAATAAAAACCAATGTGTGCTCCTGTGGATATCCGCTTCAAAATGTTTAGAATAAAAAGTTACTATTCTGCACTTGACAGAACATGTTCTGTGCCTTCGAGCTTGTAGTATTCTGGTAGCCATGGTTACCCTCGGTTCCATGAATTCCAGTGGCTATGACGACCATGGATTTGCGGAAGGTGCGGTGTAGTGCTGTACGGCAGAAAAGCCAAACTACAACTCCCATCAGTCTTTTAGGCACGCTGGGCTTTTGCTGAGGGCTCATGGGTATTGTAGTTTTTTTTGACCGTGCCATTTGGTTAGCATTAAGAGGTCCTGGCAGACTGCGTGTTCACACACGAATCGCCCCGACATCATCGTTACTACACTTCTACAAACATCCCTGCCGACACTAGGGGAGAGAGTTCAGTTAGTTCGCTAGTGCTCTCTCCACTCGCGATACCTCCCCCCGTGGCTGTTACACGACCCCGGAACCACGCAGAACCACAAACCAGGTGCGCTTGAGGGGCAACCAGCCATTTTCTCCCTTTCTATCTCTTTCTCACCAGCTCTGCAGGGCTCCACTTCACCGTTATACTAACGGCTCACAAACCTAGTTAATATGTAACTCGACGAGTACAGTTTATTGTAAAGATTTAACCAGCGCTAAGCTAATAATCCATTCCCCTTTCCGTTGACATTACAAGGCTACCCAAGTGAATCATTAACTGACGCCGTGTGCCCCCAAGTGTGCAGAAGCCAGCGCTTCGTTCGCCAAAGTGCGCATGCTCTGCCCTCAAGCATACGTCAGCGTGCTCGCGTATAGGATAGCCGTCGGTATCGAGTGACCCAGCAGCGCTGTCCGGAGGAGAGGGAGCTGAAATGGTAAAGGCACATCATTCATTTATCTCTGTGGTGCAGCCGTTCCTGAAATAAAACCGAATGGGTGTCGCTGCTGTACCTTTCCATCTTTATTTTGAGCTCTGTAGCTTTCAGTTCCAGTGTATCGTATGTCAATAGCAAGCATATCAGTAGTTCTGATGTGCTCTCTTCTTACCTGTTCAGTCTGCGTTGAGTGCACGTAGCCTACTCTTATTGCGTTAGAGACATACAGTATACACACAACAACGTGACCTGAACTTTTTAAACTTGCCCATTGCTTGAAATACGGCAAGTCGCCTTAGACACGCATAACAAATTCGTCCCCATTTTTTACATGACAAGGTGTATTTGCAAAACAGCCGCTGGGGTGCCCCCAGAGAAGCTTTGCAACTTCCCCGTGTGTGTCGCTGATGACTTTTTGAGCGGCCGTGTAGTAAAACGGAAAAGGATTGGACAGGAGGTTTTGAACAGTTCAATGGGGTGTCAGTTTGTATCAAGGTTTCGATTGGGAGTATGGGAAACGTAGTCTTTCTTCAGCCGGACTGTGTATACGTCAAAGTCCCTTCTTTGAGAGTTTGAAAAGGTATTAATCAGCATGGTGCCGAGCTACCAGAGACACAGAGAATAGCTTCTTCTTTGGTAAATCGCAAGAAAAGGTTACAGATTACTTTTAAATAATGCAAATTATTAAAAGAGTTGTTATTGGTTTATCAGCATTGCTTCAGATTATGAAACGTTGCTGTTTATCTCTAATACATTAAATTACGCTCAAGATGTAAGGGCATTTTTCGCAGAAAAATGTAAATCGGAAAACAAAGACCCAAATCTCTTTTATGGTACTGAAAGATCTCACCTTTGCTGTTTCACATTTCAAGGGTTATTATCGTCTGGGGGAAGTTTGTTTTACGTCATGGTCCAGTACAATAATATAACAAGGAAGACAAAGATTAGATAGATAGATAATACTTTATTAATCCCGTAGGGAAATTGATGTGTTACAGCAGTCCAGCCCAAGACGAGCAAAACAGACATCAGAATAGTTATAAAACAAAAGACAAACAAAATAAATAAAAATAAATAAATACATAGGTGTGTGCAAAATGTAATCAGAGAAGACAGGACAGTAGTGCCCAAGGAGTTCATTTACATTGTTTGGGACAGATATTGCAGAGGGGATGAAAGATTTCCTAAATCTGTGACTTTTAGAGCTGGGGACACAGAGGTACTGTATCTCCCCAATGGTAGTAGTGTAAATTCACAGTGAAGCGGGCGAGACACACTCTCCATAATGCCCTTGGTCTCCTTTAGCCATGAAACCAAAGCAAAATTTAGCACTATATCTTTTATTATCTCCCTTATTTGCTGTATCACAACACGTTGCCCCTTGGGGATAATAAGGACTCTCTCTCACATGCTGTTCTACATATTTGGTGAGTTGAACTTTTACTGAATACTGTGTAAATTATATTACAAAAGGAAAATAAACAGCTCGATTAAAGCTATACCCGAGTGAGATGTTGAAATGTTTGCATGCAGAAGTTTATTTGTCCGCTTTGCGAGTCTGATTAGAGCTCCGATCGTGTGACAAGTGTTATATTGTTACTCAGCAGAGAAATCAAATCGTTTCATTTCAATAGAAACGGATTGAATGGCGGGTGGCAGTCTGTGTGGAGTTTGCATGTTCGACCAATGGTCGCATGGGTTTCCTCCCACATGCTGGGCTGCTGCCCCCTACTGGACATGGGGCTGTACTTCCACGAGTTAGCAGACGCATGTAAACAATAATTATATACATTACCTCTTGTAGAATAAATGCTTTTATCTGGCACTTAAAAAAGCTTAAGAAGGTCTTATTGCAGAGTATGTTTTCTGTTGTTCTATATTTTTTACTGGCGTCTGTCTGACAACGATATTTCTAGCTTTGTAGCTGGGTTAAATATAGAGCCATGCGTGCTTTTGGAAACTACAGAGTTCTGCTCCGTGTGTGGTGCCAGTGTGGTGTCAGGAATATAAAAGTGTCTGTTTTATTTAAATTAGCAGATTTTCTAAATTGATTACTTGTTGTTGACATCAGTTTGATTATTTGTGATTTAACACAATACACATGCACAAGAACTAAGTGACATAAACAAAATAAGTAAAGTCCTTACACTTATGTAGTGCCTTTCTGGACACTCCACTCAAAGCGCTTTACAGGTAGTGGGGATCCCCTCCACCCCCAAGCAGTGCGCAGCCCCACCTGGATGATGCGACGGCAGCCATAGTGCGACAGAACGCTCCCCACACACCAGCTCTCAGTGGGGAGGAGAGCAAAGTAACGTAACAAGTTCAGAGAGGGGGATTATTAGGAGGCCATGATGGGTAAGGGCCAATGGGAAATTTGGCCAGGATGCCCTGGGATTTTTAATGACCACAGACAGTCAGGACGTTGGTTTTACACTCATCCGAAGGACGGCGCCTGTTTACAGTATAGTGTCCCCGTCACTATACTGGGGCATTAGGACCCACACAGACTGCAGGGTGAGCGCCCCCTACTGATCTCACTAACACCTTGGCTTTCCCAGGAGTCTCCCATCCAGGTACTGGCCAGGCTCCCCCCTGCTGAGCTCCAGTGGGACAGCCAGTGGTGAGTCACAGAGTGATCCAGCTGCTGGCTTAGTGAGCGAGGTGATTGAGCCACTTCAGAAGTGCCCAGGTCCTGTGAGCAGGGACCTATCAGCAGCAGGCACGGCCAAAGGGAGATGAATGGAACAGCGGTCGCCGGTGTGTGAGTAAAGGTGAAGAGGCTTTCTCAGTCACAACTCACTTCCTCATAGTTTGTCCCACTTGTGCCCTCAGGCTCGCGCTTCGCCGTTCATCCTCAAGGCTGCTGGGGCAGCGCGTCAGAGCCCGTGAGGAGTACAGAGACTTGGCTTGGGGCCCCCCGCGTCCGCTTTTGCGACCCTGAAAAAGACCAGCCCCCCAGGCGGTCGGCGTTGGACTCGGTGTTAAAAGACACAGCCCTTGGGATCCGTGCAGAGCGAGAGATAGCCATGCAAACTGACTGAGCCAGCAGCACCGCGCTCGGGACGGGGATGAAGACGAGCTTGCGCAGTTCAGAACAGCCCGGCACAGAAAGATCGCAACACCAGCCGGAGGAACAGAGATACAGGAACGTAGTTATTAAGGGACAGACAGGTTATTAAGATAATTGAGGGAAATTATAGGGAGGGGTGAGAGAAGGGAGGGGCCTGTCAGACACAGGGGAACAGGGCAATTTCGTCAGCAGATATCTTATCAGAGTAAACATTATAAACAAGGAACAGAGGTTCTCTGTGGTGGTGGTGTGGGGGGGGGGGGGGAGAGAGGGGGGGGACTGCACTAAGACTGAGGAGAAAAAGAGCGAGGGAGAGTGGGAGAGAGCAAAGGGAAGGGTTTGATACAGATATCGGCTGGCTGGCTGGCTGCACACCCCGCTCCATTGGCACCGAGACCAGAGGGAGATAAAAGAGAGAGAGAAGTGCGAGATTCGGCTCCAGTCATGGCCTGTGGGTGAGCACGCAAACCTTCTTCTTCCCTGAGCTGTGTGCGGCTTTTGTCTGGGAGCCCTGCTGCACTGCGCCCTCTGGCCGGTTACTGATTACCAGCCGGGCAGCCCTTCGGCTCCCTCTGTGAGCAAGGTGTCAGCTGGCCCTGGCCGTCCTGAGTCAGTGAGGGGGGCCGATTGTGAATCAGTGTGTCGGCGAGTGTGGCTGATTGTGAATCAGTGTGTCGGCGAGTGTGGCTAATTGTGAATCAGTGTGTCGG